TCCTGTGCTGGTGGAGGAGCGAGAGAGCGACTGAGAGAGCTGACCCAGAGAGAAGGACAGGCTTCGGTTGCTTCCTCCCTCCCCTTCTTTCATTTGTGTCCTTGATCCCCGATCCCAGCAGCATTCACCGAAGGTGAAGAAAGCCGCCATTTTTTTAAAAAAAAAATTCTTTGCGGCCCGGTAGAGAGTGCTCCACGGCCCGGTACCGGTCCGCGGCCCGGTGGTTGAGGACCCCTGCTGTACGCTCTCCAGAGTCATGAAGTTGAGATAAGCAGTGATTTAAATTGAAATAACAAACTTCCTTTTAAAATGCATGTAATAAACAAGATGCTTAATTAAGTTAACAACTACTCTTTTGTCAGACTGAATACTATACCTGCATAAAGCTTGTGTCATACTTGCATCTTTTACATTTGGATCTGTGGTAAGGCTTCCAATCAGGACTGTAATCATTTGTAAGGGGATATGCTGCACAAGACTTGCCAAAGCAACCGAAGGTTCAGAAGTATCTATAATTGCCAAACATATAAGAAATTATAATACATTATTTCTGCTTTTTCCACTAAGATTTGAATCAATTTTAAAATGTGTATTTCATGTTTAACCATATTCTGAACCAATTCAAAGCTCTCAGACTCCCTTAAAACCCAAATAAGTGATACTCAGTGGAAGCTCTTTGCTGGAAGAATAAAAGATACTATTTGAGCATTACTGCCTATTTTCATCTGGAGAAAAGCTAAGGAAACTACAAGAGTACTGGAAAAATCAGCTCTTACTTTCCTCTAATCGGGCTTTCCTATATCATAATTCAGCTCACAGATAGTCTGGATATAACATAGTTTGGTCTAGTGGTTTGGCACCAGGCTAAAAACTGAGTTCTAGTCCTTAGGCATGAAAACCAGCTTGGTAACCTTGGGCTAGTCACTCTCTTTCTATCCAAACCATCTCATATGGTTGTTGTTGTTGTGAACTCATAGAATTTCTTATTTACATGTTGTATGAAAATTATTTGTCTCACAGTCATATAGATGCAGCATTCAGTAATATGATGCTACTATAAAAAGGACACCAGCTTCAATATCCATTTTTCTATTTTTAGCAAATTCTATAATTCAGATTCAGTCATGTGAAAAAGGAAATACACCCTCTTTGAGTTGTATGATTTTATGTATCAGGACATAGTAAAAATCATCTGGTCCTAAGTTCTTAAAAGTAGTTAAGTACAACCTCAGATGGACAATAACACATGACGTATTACACCATGTCATGGTAAGAACTACACTCTTTAATTTGTAATATATATTTGGTTAAACTTGTTCTATGGTGCTGCAATTAAACACTTTCTACTTGCCTTAAAATATCACATTAGAAAGTGCATTTTAAAGCTAATAGTCATTAAAAGCCATGCAGACAGTCCAAGAAGCCACTTCATAACATTTAATATTAACTATATCATTAATAATACCATAATAACTTAAGTGACTAAAAGTTTCAAACAATAACAAAAACATAACTGGCTTCTATCTCTCTCATCAAAGTAGAACCTATACGATCACCAAACTGTGCCTGAATTATATTATAAATCAAAGCCCATCACAAATCATGGCACATAGGAATAAAAATATATACGTTGCTACTCTAATACTCTCCAAAATATTTACATTCAGTTCTTCCTACTTCCCCGTCCAAGAACTTCTAAAATCTCATCACCAGATCTATTAATCAATACAAATGCTAGATAATTTAATCAGTTTTTTTTAACCTACCCTCTTTGAAACTTTAGAAACTTTGCTCTAATCAGATATCACACATACATACACACATATATATACATAGATTTGTGTATCTGCCATTCTTCAATGGAAGAAGAAGGGGGGAGGAAATGGGTAAAACTTTTTGATGTAACATGAATATCTTAAATCTTATACTGAACCTGTATAACTTGCACATGATATACAACCGGAGGACCGGAGTCAGATGTCTAGAAACTTGTCACCTCTTGGAAAGAGGAGAAGGGACCATAAAAATTCCAGCTCTGAAAGATACTCCCTGGGAAACTCTTCTAAGATACGTTCCCAGGAAAAAAAAAAAAGGGGGGGGGGTTTAACATGTTGGTTCTTTGTTTGACTAAATCCACATCAGAATAAGGGGAGGGATTCTAACTCCCTTTATCTATTACTGTATGCCTGGAAGCATCTTAGATTCTGCTTTGACTAGTACTGGGATCACTTCCTTTCAATAAAGAATTCCTTTTGAAGTACCTAGCTTTCAGAAGTTCATTCTTTTCGGTTGAAGGGGAAAAGTCCAAATACTGTGTAAACCAGAACCCTGTTAGCAGTAAAGAAAAGGTTCTGTTCTCCTATATTTAGCTAGCTTTTTTTAAAAAAGCAACCAAGGGCAGGTATAATATATCTTGAGTTGCCAAAATCCAGGAACCACTAGAACAGGGTTCTCCAACCTTGGCAACTTGAAATATTTGTGGACTTCAACTGCCAGAGTTCCTCAGTTCGCAAAGAAAAGCTCTGGGAGCTTTGAACTCTGGGAGTTGAAGGCAACAAAAGTCTTCAAGTTGCCAAGGTTGGAGACCCCTGCACTAGAAAGCAGCAAAGGATTTTCAGCTTTCAGCATCTCTGTGCTGCCATCCAGATTTATTTTATTTTTTTATTTTTTGGCAAACGAGGTGCTGGAAGCCTTACCCAGCTTTCTCCTCTCACTTCAACATCCCTCTTGTTCCTAGTCTTTTTGAGGGGCTGGCTGGCTGGCATGCCTTTACCCTTGATACCCCCCCCCCCTTCTTCTTCTTTTCAACTTACAGAATCCCAAGGGGATTCGATTCAACGGGGAAGCCTGGGAGGAAAACGCGAGCCTACCTGCCTGGCGACCTACCGGTGGAAGAGATGATGGCGAAGAGCTCCTGCAAGGAAGGCAGCAGCGTGTCGGGTTCTGCTTTCCAGATGCCGCGCAGCAGGTTGCTGACTTGGGTGACCTGGGAGACGTAGAGGCGGAGAGCAGCTTCCCGGGTGCTTTGGGTCTGGAAGTGAGCGATGCTGCGTACCAACTGCTGGCAAAAGGCGAGGGCGAGTTTCCTACCGCGGGGCAGACACTGAGGGAAGTCGCTGAGGAGCTGGCAAAGGCGAGCGCACAGAGGCGCCGGCGGCCTCTCGCTCACCAGGCGCAACGCTTCCCTCTGGAGCAGAGCGAAGAGCTCCAGCACCGCCGGGCAGCTGATGAGAAGCCGCAGGCCAGTCTGGACGTAGTCTAAGACGCTGGGGTCCAAGTTGGAGCCGAGGCCGGGAGGAGGAGGAGGAGGAGAGGGAGAGGGAGCGGTGAGGAAGAGCAGGGACGCGGGGCCTCCTCCTCCTCCTCCCCCGTGAAGCAAAGCCAGGACCAGGTCGCGCGTGAAGAAGGCCTCGAAGTCGTCGCGGTGGTGGCGAGCGTAAGCCTCGAGGACCTGGCGGCCGACCTGGCGCTGGAACTGGTCGGGGCCCTGCAGGATGAGGCGGCTGCTCAGGGCGAACATGGCCTGGCACTGCGGCCCGCTCAGCGGCGACTCGGCCGACTCCACCACGCGCTTCACGATCATCCGTTTCACCGACAGCGGGTAGGACGAGCTGACCAGCCCTTCCAAGATCTTCTCCATGGCGAAGGCCGGTCCAGCATTGGCCACCCCTTCCGGGTCCCCCCCGTTCGGCCCTTTCCCTTCTTCGCTCCGCGGTCGCCTTTCAACCGCCCGGCCAGCAGCGCCGCCTCAGCATCGGCCCGGCCCGGCCCGGCCCGGCGTTTCTCAGGAGGCTCCTCAAAACCGAGACGTCGGAGGCCCCAAACGCCGGGGAAGCACGTGACCCGGAAGCCACAGAACAACGCATCGTCACGCCGGACGGGAAATGGAAGGCGGCCGTTCCAATTGCGCATAAACAAAGGATGGTTCGGAGGACGGCGGCCTGGCCGGCGCGCCTGCGCATTCCTTCCCCCGGCGCTTAGAAAGGCCTCAGGCCCTTTGCGTGACCCAGGGAGGAGAGTGTCACGCGAGGAAGAACGAGGTTGAAAGGGCGGAGGCTGAAACAGAGCAGGAAGTTTAATGTGACCTGATTCGTAGTGTTTATTACCGCTTGGTCCCTTTACAGCAGAGGCCTCCAAACTTGGCCACTTGAAGACTTGTGGACTTCAACTCCCAGAATTCTCCAGCCATGTGACCATGGGGATGCTGTAAAAGTGTGAAAAATGGTCATAAGTCACTTTTTTTTTTTTCAAAGAACAATCACTAAATGAATTTTAAGTTGAGGACTATCTGTATCTGTTAATCCTTTTAAAAATGATTCGAGCTGATTATTCTAACCATATTTTATGGAATAAAAAGCCTTAGCTTTGACTATATGTAGAAGTATTACTGTTTTACCTGACTCTAATGCCATTTGACACTATTAACTGATGCTGATGCTGGGGTCAAGTTCAGAGAGGGAGGGGTAAATTGCCTCTATTGTATCCACATATTGATTCTCATACCATAAGATAACTTTCCAATTAATCAGCAAATACAGGTAGTCCTCGACTTACGACCACAACCGACCACGTATTGATTCTTACACCATAAAATAGATGACAACCTACATTTTGCTATCTACTTCCAGAGTCATCAGATAATTTCTCTTGCCTGCACTATCTAAAGCAGGTAGTCCGGCATTTGATAGTAGGCAATAATTAAGCTCAAAATTTCTGTTGCTGATATGGTTAAGTGACTTTTGCCCCATTTTATGCTAAGTGAACCATTGCAGTTAAGTTAGTAACATGGTTAAGTGAATCCAGGTTCCACATTGACTTTGTTTTTCAGAAGGTGGCAAAAGAGGATCACATGATCCCAGGACACAGCAACTATCATAAATGAGTCCATTGCTGAGCACCTGAATTTTGATAATATGACCATGAGGATAGCGTAATAATTGTAAGTGTGAAAAACAAATGAGTCACTTTTTCCAGGTCTGCTGTAACTGAACAATCACTAACTAAACTGTTGTAGGTTGGGGGCTTCCTGTGTGCACTTCAGAATAATATATAAAGATAGAACATTATTTGCTATTGCTATTTGTACCCACACTAATAATCTTAAAGTGCTTAACAAAATGTCACAAAGAAGGATTTGTTTGGAAAAGTTGGAGTATAAATGCATGTTGTTCTTTGTCCTACTAATCTGTTTGGAATTTATGACAGAGGTGTTGTAAACTCTGCCAGTTTCTGTGCTATCAGAAAGCTGTCCTCACTGTCACTTTATTTGGTATCCTCAACATTATATTTAGTAAGTTGTAATAAAATTACCAAAGATTGATGAGAGGCTTTTAAACTTACATCTGCTGCAATCACATAGATTCCCAGTGGTATCTATGTTGTTATTAGTTTGTTCTTGTACTAACAGTTAATACATTGTTTGCTTGGGCTGCATGAAGTTATATGTTATGCTACCATGACAATATCTCTGTTTTATGTCAAAGCAATAAGGATTTTTTCTTATTATTTAAAAATAAAAAAATTACCTCAAGGAAGTAACAACATAAATTGTACGTGTGAATGCTTCTCTGTCTATGTGTGTGTCTGTGGTGTGGGATACGTGTGTGTATCATTTTAAATATAAATTTCAATAAATATAAAAATATATTTCATTGTAATTGTCCATACATATTCTACATCTACATTGTTACATTGTTTGTAAGTTGCAATTAACATCAGGTCTTCAATCTCCTAGGTAACTGGGACCATACATTTGTCTTTCCAAAAGTGAAAACCAAACTCTTAGCAATAATTATGACAGAATCAATTTCCATTGTCCAGCTATCAGCTTCCAATAATAGTTAAATAGTTCAAAAGAATGTGTTAATCAGCTTCCAATAGTAGTTAAGTAGTTCAAAAGGATGTGTTAATCCAAAAATATTAAATTTTGTCTTATAGTCAAACTAATATATGCCATTACTTCTGCATAGAACATAATTTTAGAACACTACAAAACTATGTGTTTAATGAAGCATTATTCTGGTTGCATCTGAAACAAAATAATCACTTATTTCTTTTCTGTACAAACACAATGGGACCAATAAGTCCAAAATATTATTATTGTAGTATTGAGAAGCAAAAAAAAAAAAGGATGATTTCCTCATTTGTATTAAGATGAATCTAGTGATTTTCTATCAACTTGATAGAACCTAACTAGAGTATAAAGATCTCTTGCTAAAGAGAGAACAAAAATAAATTGATGTTTTACATTCCATATTTTCAAATATTGATTTGTATATGGTGCAATAGGATATCTGAGTTATTTTACTTGACAGTGAATACTAGTATCACTGACAGTCCATATAATTAAACATTATATATCATAATGTATTAAACAATGTATTATAAATGTAAGCTATCATTTTAAATAAGCTGAATTCCATTCCCTGAGTTGCCACAACACTTTCTCACTTTTTTCACAATTCGAGGCTGTGGGTTTATCAATAACAGATAAAAGGAAGAACTTGTTCACAGTATATCGTTATACTGTGGTGTTTTGTATTACAAGACAACTATCCTTTGACATTATAATGGAAATTACATAAATAAATAAATGGAACAACACTGGAAGCAACATCCTGTTAAATTCCAGTTGTTAAGGAATATGGAGATGCTGTTACTCTGGTTGAGTATTGAAATGGGGGGAAAGGCTTGCATGAGTATGATTCATTGTACTTAAAAACACATATTAAACATATCTAAATAATAAAAAGTGCAATGGACTTCTTTGTCCCAGTATGATATGTTCATTGGCTTAATTGTACTAAACAAAAATAAACCTGGCTGTAATTTCTCATACATTATAGCAATAATAAAGTACTTATTTTCCTTGACAGTTCATATATCTTGGATACTTTGAAGTCTGTCTGTACAAATGTATCTTTCCATTAAAAATAAAATAAACACCATTTTATTACTATTTAGACACAAACTTAAAATTGTTTTAAATCAGTTTGACATCTCACTGTTTAATATATTTATTAGACCTTTGATTGATTGATTGATTGATTAGATCTCAAGGCGATTCTGGACAACTTACAAACATTAAAGCCAATAAAACTCTGTGATAATAAATACTTATAATAACAGTAATAATTTACAATTTAAAAAGATGAGAAGGAAGGGAGCAGGATGCCCACGCTAGGGACAGGGAGATGGGATCTTGTTTTATCCATTAGCCATATCCAGCGCAAACACTATGATTGTGAAGCTGTATTCATGGTTATTGGTTATGTATTTTAATCTGTCTTTATTTAAAGCATTTGATAATATTGCTTGTTATTTAATGTTTGCATCATTTGGAAAGTTTTTATGGTGAGGATATATTTAAAGTACATACCGGCACATATAGTCAACCATTACCAGCTGACTATATTTTTCTCCACAGCATTAGTTGCTTAGAAATCTTTCTCAACTTCCTTTTTCTTCTACTGAGACAGCTTTCTTGTACGGTTCATCCTACAATCTGTTACGATGTTTTGCATGTAGTTTTTGTTCATTTTGAATCATAAATGAAGAGTAGATAGATAGCCATTCAGAAAGGATGCTTCCCTGTTATTTTAATTAAAATGTTTTGTGTTCACCAAACACAAATGCTTGGAAAAGAGGATTTTTGCTGAAGGCCTGTAATCACAGTATATTCTGACTCAAAAAAAAAAAATATGTGTATGTGTGTGCTTTGATATACTAGATTGCACTAGATTGCAAATCAGTATTTGTTTCATAATGATTAACAGAAACTCTGATAAGGACTTGTTTTCAAATTCATGATGCTCAGGAACAAGAGCTGATCTTGTTTGACCCAAACTGGAAAATACAAATTTCTTTATTTCCCAATAAACTAACACCTTGGGAAAGATACTGCATGTACACAGGATAAATAATTGTGCTCCAAAGGATCATTAACTGCTCACTACACCTGTCAATTTATATTGGTAATAGCAAATATATATTTCCCGCATGATGGTTTTCTGTATCATTTTTGTCATAATCTTACAAAAAAAATGTTGAATTTTGTATTGCTCAAGTGATGGTACATTGCAGAGAAATGTCAAGACCAGAGACAGCTCATCATCTTGTCACCACTAGATTTATTCTGAAAATAATGATTTTGCTCAGATCCCCATTATCTGAGAAAAATATAGAGGCAATACAAATGTCTTTCAAAAGTGTAGTGACTGCCTCTTTAATAAAACATAATGAAGGAGTGTTTCTTATAATACCTTCCCTCTGCAGGATAGTAATTGCTAAGTATCAGAAATAAAATATAAAATCAGTCATTAGCAAAATGTATCAGAAGTGTATGTGCTTTGATATGAATGCATAGGACAGCCAATGTCTCAAAATGACAAATCCTTCAATGAATAATACAGTGCAAAAATCATTTGTTTCTACTTGTATCAGAATGATCAAAGAAAAATCAGTTTGCTTATTCTACTTTCTTTTAGGACCTTCTTATCTAAGCAGCAATCTGTAAATATATCTACAACAGCAGAGCGTGGATAGTTCACCTGGAAAGTAACAATGGATGAGATTTTTAGTGCAGATCACTGTGAAATAAACAGGCCTCCAAATAAACTCGGGTGGGTTTCTACCAGTTCT